AGAATGAGTCTTTTTCAAGGTGCTGTGGAGAATACAGTTGAAAGGAAGAGAAGCACAGCGAAATAATTGGGTCATCTCAAACCAATGGGACATGAACGCGCTATTGGGCTTCTCTGACTGTCTTGCTGCCTCCTTCTCCATACATTGCTATGAATCGGGACAGCCCATAATACCAGGTTCTGTAAGGCTAATTAAAGCTAAGGCCCCCGCCTACTTCCTAAATGGACAGACAACTGTACCTGAGATGTTTGAAATGCACCCTGCGTCTCCTAAACAACCTTCAAGGCACAGGCAATAGCTGTAGTGATAACCACAACATCACAGAAATGCACCCTTTTTTCCCCATCTTCCCCCTTCCCAGTTTATGCAAATAGTCTTTAATAAAAGCATGCTCACTCAGGGGCCTCAGGTACAGGCAGGCAGGGGAAGGTCACATTGTAGGGGAAATTATTCTCTTCACGGCATGGTAATGAAAGGGTTTTTTTTTTTATTGAGCGGAGCCAGCTAGGTTCTCGTCCTCGGCTCTCTGCTGCACTGCTGGCCCGGACGCTATCTGTGTTTATTTACACCGTCCACAGCAGGGGGGCGGCCAGCAGCTGTGGGACGGCCCCGACAAAGTGAGCTGGTAACTAATTGCTTGTTGGGGTGGAGTAATGGCCAGGAATCCGAAATTCAATCGGGTGTTATTGTGTTTAGATTATACGCTTCTTAAATTATTTGGCATGTCCAGTATCTGCTGTGTTTTTGGAGAGTTAATTGGAATTGACAGTTTCCCTTTTTCGTGTTAAAGTAATGCCCGTAAATAAACAATATGTAAGCCAGCAATCACATTCAAAGCAATCTGTTTTTGCATCAGTGAAATCCGGAACAGTTTTATGTCTCTAACCCTCCCAGCTGTCTCCAACTAAAGGACTCCGTGCCTTCCAAAACCTTTCAGACAAGATGAACAGTGCCTCGCTGGCTGCCCACAGTGAAAAGGGGGAAGGGGGGGGTTCCAGTTAGAGTTGGTGGGTTGCTTTTGTGAATGATTTGTTAGGAACAGGGCTCCCTATTTCAAAGGACCTGAAAGCATCGATCCTGTCCCCGATGAGCTGACACCTCATGTATCGCCTGAAGTCGTCTTGTCTTGAAAGGCTGTATAAGAATTCTGCATCATGGAAAAATCTTATCGTGTTGGGAAGGGAATATATAGATATAGATATAGGTAGTAAGGTTAGGCATTTAAAGCTATTTCTGACCATCTTTTTTAGACCAAAAGCTAACTCATCAGCGAAGTGAATTTGCTGCATTTTCTGGATTTAATGCCCCACAATTTAAGGACTGGTTGGTCTTTTCTTATTATTTAAATGCTTTTTCCAAAGGTCCAAAAAGTGGTACGTACAAAATATATCTTCACCTGCTGATGAAGATGGCGTATTGTACTTTTAAAGCCCTGGTAAAAATGTGAGGGTTGACCTTGAGTTGGGATTGATTTCCAAGGTCAAAACTTGTACCTAATGTATTCGGGTATGGAATATTTAACTGGTCTGATGTGTATGTTTGACCACATGAGCCTTCTCAAAGATGCAAGACTGACCATTTTCATGATCAGCTTTATAAAGCACTTTATTTTCCCAATTGAAGGTGGAGCCTGTTTGGCGACTCATTTCCAATGCAGAATCCCTTTGCTTGAGCTTGAAGCCTTCGTTAAAGGATGACGGTATGCCAAACACGTCTCCTACATCAGAGTAACCATATGTTTGTGCACAGCCATTAATCTCAGGCTGGATGTTGACTGTTCCCGTTTTGCCCTTTCCTACCCAACTTATTATCCCGCGACTCTCACTTCCTGTTGTAATAACGGCTGCGGACCACCACACAGATGGCTGTCAGCCAGGCGAGGGCAGCAGAAGGGACCTGTCGACCCCTACACCCACACACACACACGACTTCACCATCACACACTTCCTCTGTCTTCCACACAATGACAAACGTCAACACACACAGAGCTGAGGGCGCCAGGGAGCGTCCTGTTCAATGACAAATTGCAGCCCAAGACAACAGGCCCCGGTGTAGCACTCCTGAGGGACTCTTGAGATCTCTCACAGGGTGACCCAGTTCCATCACGTCTCCCCTTCTACCTCTCTCCTCTACCATTCCATTTTCTATAGCGGCACGTCCTCCTGCATTCATACAGACCATTGCATTGGTTTTATAGTTGAGTTGTAATAAGGAGATCCCCTCTTCACTTCTCGTTGCAGTGTCTAAATGTTCACTCCCAGGTCAGTGTCTTCTGCTGAGTGAAAGGTCTGCAGCGGACTATTTCTATCTCCCACTCTACAAGCTACATTAAGAGCCAACATGCAGTTTCTCTCATTCCCCCCTCGGTCACTGTTAACATCACTTACCGAAGAGATTACAAAAAAACCAACAAGGATTTATTTCTTGGTTCCTTAATTCACTCTTTTGTTCTGCCTTAACAGCAAATAGCTTAACTGCAATGCAGCAGTACCAGTATTGGGCATTAATATTAATGTCCGCCCATTTTGCCCAGCGTGGCAGGGAGCCTGTCAATCAAGACTTTTATTGAAGGGGCTCCTTACTACAGCAAACACCTGCCCAGCACTCAAGTGCCTGCTTCTGACACCAGAAGGCGCCACTGAGCGCCTGGTGTGTTGCAGGCATGCATTTATTGGCCAGTTGTTCAACATATAGGAGATATTTCCAGCCAATCCGGATTGGACAACTCTTATACATTGCACCAATTGGAGCAAGAAATAGGAACAAAAAGAACAAAGGCTTTATGTGGGACAATTGCCCTTGATTCTAATGGATACTGTTGTAGTAAAGAAAGAAAACTGCATTCTTGTATTGTCTATCAAAAAGCTGAGAGAGTGCTGTGTTTAACCACTGGGGATAAGTTTAATGTCATAGCTTCAGGCAGGAGTCTGATGTGGCAAGGTCTTTTGTTGAATAATTTGCTTGTTTAAGTCTCAACTCCTACCCGGTGGGAGAGCCACTGATGAAATTACTCAAAAGTCCCCCCCTGAGATGTAAAATGTACAGTACGAACGCAAATAGTTTTTTCCCGTAACAAAGGCGACACATTATGAATGTGAGATTAGGCAGAAAGGGTGCGGTTGCTATCACATTTAAGCAGTGCTCCTCTGCATTAAGTGGTTGAAGATGGCTGCAAGCAATGCAGGTGTGTGTGCGTAAGCCTCTGTGCGCTGAGAGGTAGAGCGAGAGAGCGAGGGAGCCTGGGATCAGTGTGCTGCGCTGTTCATCACTGCAGCAGTACACCATGCTGGATCTCTGTCCGTGCAGAGGTGCTGACTGCCTGTCCCCCCCACCCCCCCTGCCTCTCTGGCCCTTTTTTCTGCTTCCTCAAGAGAGTGTGCTGATGATGCTCTCTTTCATTACCCCAGGAGGAGGGAGACAAGCTGTAGGTTTAGCAAAAACCCGCAGGGAACCAGCCATCCTGATTACCTTCATTCTGAATGCCTGCCAGCATGTTGGTTTGCATCTCTTTCTGTTCTCCGTCTTAATAGTTCACAGTTGTCATTGATTCTGCTGGCTGTGGCCTTCGTGCTCTGTGCTGGAGCCCATTACCTCCCTGTACTGTCTCAGACCATACTTACCTCACTCTTGTGTAGGTGAACACTCCAGTGCTCGCGTGGGGGCTGTTCAGCCATATCAAAGTTAGAGTAGAATCGGCTGCCTCCTCCTTTTGTCGCAGTTCAAAGATATGCCCTGCATGATTATTCAGGGTTAATCAAGGTCAGAAGTGTTCCCTCCAGCGATGCTGCTTAAATGCTTATTGAAGGTACATTGTGTACCTAACTTCAGAAGAGGGTTCAGGGATAAGGCTTTTTAACGGGCTTGTTTTATATTCCATAGCATCTGCACAAATTGAAGAGTTGCGTGTTGCAGGCTTTGCTTCTCATCCCCGACTGATGCACCGGTCATACACTAAATTACAGATGCATCTCATTTCAGTATTCTCATGTGCCATATGCCTGGATGTGTGCCCAGGGGCTAAAGCAAAAAGAGTAGGAAGAGATGGGGGTAAAATAATGGTTTAGTTCAAACGCTGAACCAAAGCTAGTAGGAAAAAGGGTGTTACCTCACATCTATTTATATCTAATTGCAACAGTATTACATAAAACCAATCTCATGGAGTTTGTCTGTATTTCTCCCTGCTTATTCATTGTTTTGTGGGATACATTAAGATGTTTTAATAGTAAAACATAGGTGTATTCGTCAATGACGCTGTGAGAGGTGACAGCCGCCCTCTCTCCCCACTGTGACTCCTTCTCAGCCTTCATCCTGTACAGTAGTCTTAGCAGCCACTTCTCTCTGTGGCACACATCCTCTAAATGACCTTCAGTGGCACAGAACTGACTGGCTCTTTTCTCCACACCGGGCTACTTCTGTTAAACAGCACTGTTAAAACAATGGATTTGTTTTCTTTCACCCTTCCCACCCTGCCTGGTTCTCCCCCGGGAGGATACCCGAGTGAATGCAGCTAAATCTCGTGTAATTATTACCATTCTGCCTCCCTATGATAGGCAGCGAGGTAAAAGAGACTTCTGTTCTTAACTGAGGAGATGGTAGGGGGACGGCTTCTCTAAAAGAACACGTTGCTCTTGTACCGCTCAAAGCTTGATGTAAATAACACTCTGCTTGGGAAAGCAGCTCCTCCCTAAGTTGATTTAGTATTCTTGTCCCCATGTGTGAAAATGGGATATGCTCTGCTGTAAAAGAAAGTGTGTTGGAATATGCTGCGTATCAGCAGTACCGACACTGCGATGTGTTTTGCGTACAGCAGTTTGTGTTTGGCCCCCAGCTATCATACATTGCATGAGACATTCAGTCACAGATTAATTTGGACAGTTTACATCACAAACTACCAAATTGACCACCCTTTCTGTACCTTTCTGCAGCTTATTCTGTCATGCTTCTCAGCTCAGCCAATTCAAACACTCACTTTATTCCCTGTCTCTGTGTCTCCTCTACAGTGCCATGCGTGTGCTGCTATCTAAACTGCCAAGGCCTTGGATCGTAGACGAGAAGAAGGACGACGGTTACACTGCACTGCACCTGGCTGCCCTCAACAACCATGTGGAGGTGGCTGAGCTGTTGGTGCACCAGGTAACGGCACAAACACAGATGTATTAAAGCGTTTTAATGCACGCTAAACACCGACAACAGATGCAGTTATTTACCCTATAAGAGACTATTTTTCTTTACGTTTATCAGCCCAAAGCATATCCTGCATTAGCTCAGCCCGCACTCCTGGCTTTCCCTGACTACAGAACATTAAGAGCAGCTTCCACTGCACTCCCTGCAGCCAGCAAGCTGTAGACCAATTTAAACTGCTATAAGTGCCATTTCTTTTTATTGAATCCATACGGTTCACAGAGCCTCTAGGGGTATTCTTTAGTGCTGTTGGGCCATCATATCCTCCTCCTCCTGCAATCATAGGTTCATGGTCTTTTTCCCTTCTGAGATTGCAGGTTTAACTCTCTGAAGAGACATGAGTGTACGGCAAAGTCACCTGTCCAAGCGAGAACTGGGTTAATTAGGATATGGTGCAAGGCAGCAATGTTGCTGCAACATTCCAACGCATGAACGCTCGCCGTTCAAGCTTCCCTTCGGCAGGGGCGGCCTTTCTTCCCAGGTCCCTGCAATGGTCTAGAATGCAGCGATGGCTCAGCTTTCTATTCAGAAATTGCACCGCACTACAAGGTGCACTGCAGATTCCCTGCCAGCCAGCCAGCCAGTCAGTCTTATTACTTGGGGATTTCCCACACTGCCTGATCACAATGGCTATCTTCCCTCCACATCTCCTCAGCTGAGGTGTTCGCAATTGGAAATGACAATCAAGTGCAGCGTTATTGTAGAACACGTTTTGTATTCCTAGGCGGAAGGTGAGACTTTGTTGGTAGGCAGGGTTAAAGAGAGGAAGACTCTGTCATGCTACATATTGTCAGAGTATGTTACAATCACTTTTGAGCTGAAATATCTTCTCTTGTTTGTCTGCATTGATCACTTGCCTGTGTATTTATGAGCACATACATTTGTGTGATTCATTTTGTGGGTCGTTAACGTATGCACATATGTCTGTTTTCCTTCTCTCCTCTTCACACCTCCAAGGGAAGTGCCAGCTTAGACATCCAGAACGTCAACCAGCAGACGGCGTTACACCTGGCAGTGGAGCGTCAACACACCCAGATAGTCCGGGTTAGTGGGGCCTTTTTTTCCCCCCTATCCTCCTTTCATTTGTTCTCCTCTCACTTTGACTTCAAACTGAAGATTCTGCCTCCAGTAATCCCTCTATCAATCTCTCAGTGTGGACTACACACAAAGGGGAGTAGAACAACATCAGTGCAGTTCATATTTAATTTACACTGGTGGATGTCCTGCAGTGGAATGAGCTCCTGCTTCAGATTGATGCTGTGTGAGGAAAACGCTCTCCGAGGCAGTGTCTTGGTTAGAGTCATTTGGCGTAGTATTGGATTGAGATTGCCACGTTGCCATCTTGTGGACTCAAGAAAAAATGCACTCCATAATTGGGGCCGCGAAACACTCAGGTAGTTCTCGGCTATCGGCAGCCTAATAAATCATTACTGTGGTATTTGCATTGTAGCATAAAATTAAAGTTGTTTTACAGTTATTGCTACAGTTCCTGTTTGACTGCGAGTTTGTATTTATTTATGTATGTGTTTTTTCTTCACAGCTGCTGGTGCGTGCAGAGGCCAAGCTTGATGTGCAGGACAAGGACGGGGACACACCACTTCACGAGGCACTGCGTCACCACACACTGTCCCAACTGCGACAACTCCAAGATATGCAGGATGTCAGCAAAGTGGAGCCCTGGGAACCTTCCAAGAACACAGTGCGTATACGTTTATTATTACCCTCACTGTTCCTCCATGATCACAGTCATTTACTCAAGTCAAGGTTCCTTTTAGGTGTCATACGGCATCACAGCACTAACATGAAATGGAACAGCCTTGTGTGTTGAGAGGAAGGAACAAACTGAAAACACTGGAGGTCATGGATTGAAGCGCCTCGTTATCCAATAGGTTTACGTGATTCAGTTAACATTCCCAAATGCATTTGCCTAAGCAAGGCATGCACACTAATGCAGCATGTTGGAAGAACTTTAGTCTGCCTGCCATTGATTTACTGTCCTTAAATGCTGAGTATAAAGCTTACAAACTCATTCTATTACTATTCCTGTTTTTTCTTATTGAGGGTCTGACCAGAATACATTAGGCAGTACACTATGAAACACCCTGGACAAGTCACAAGGGTTTTTCAAAGCTGAGCCACATGCAAACATATTCACACCTAGGGACAGTTTATTTCTCCTTTCCATATTCCAGAATAATCCAACTTTGGGCTGTAAAGAACATACCAAAGACAACCTGTGGAAACATAGACAGAACACACAAACCACACTGAGAAACATGAGAATGACTTTGTGATTAACACTTCCTACGTCAGTGATGAGAGTATTATCATGTGATGCAGTTTAGTTTTCATGATTTTAGGTGTTTGGACTTAGGGTAGTCTTGGCAGCATCTTGCAGGACCTGTATGAGGATCAGTAAGTGTACCACTGCCTGATGTTTGAAAACGTATAACACATCACTCTTAAACAGGACCTCGCTGTTCTTTAGTTCATCATTCAGACAGCAGCAGCGTGAAGCAGCCAACCAGCTCGCTGCAGCCTCTCGGCCGGCCTGAATGAGTTTGTCTCCCTGTAGGGCCAACAGGGCCGTGTCAGACCTGAACCGTCTTCATGTTAACACCACACCACTAATCCCTACAGGGATGAGTTTCAGGCTGCAGGGTCTCGCTACACACTTCCCTTACCTGTCACCTTCTGTCTGCCTCCCACTTCTTCCTCGTCTCCTCCGCCTCCTCTCTCCTGTCCGCCTTCCTGCTCTCCCTGGTTCCCCGCGGAGGAGCGGAACAGACCGACAGCGGGCCTAATTGAGATATGTGCGGTTGGGTCACCCTCCCATAGCTCTCCCCTTCTCCTTCAGGATGAGAATTGAATTAGCCGGCCCGATGGCTCCATCAGCAGGGATGTAAAAGCCACCGGTTGAAGACAATCAAACATGGAGGCCCCAAATTGCTGGAGAGAGAGATGGGTTTGAAGTTGAGACGAGCAGCTGGAAGTGGGAGGGAGAGGCGGGACAGTTAATGGGATTTTGGGTGAGGGTGAGGGGGTAACTCTGCCTGACAGCCATCTTAAGGCATGTCTTTGATTGGCTAATTAGTGATGATCTGATAGTACTTCGGCATGGTCCATCTGAATTTCACCATGATTCCATCTGAATAATATTAATATCATATCTCCTCTTGCTCTGTAATAGTTTTAAAGGCTACAGTGGGAGGTAAAGACAAAACTGTGTACCCACTTGGATTCAACTTAAGAAACAATATGTCATGTCACAAGTGCCCGAAGTTCCTCTGATGTATCTGTTTGTGTGTGTCTGTCTGTCTTTCTGCAGTTAATCATGGGCCTCGGCACCCAGGGGGCGGAGAAGAAGAGCGCAGCATCCATCGCCTGCTTCCTGGCAGCCAACGGAGCGGACCTGACCATTCGTAACAAGAAGGGCCAGTCCCCTCTGGACCTGTGTCCAGACCCCAGCCTCTGCAAAGCTCTGGCCAAATGTCACAAAGAGAAGAGCAGGTAAACATCCCTTAAAGGAATACTTTGACATTTTAGGAAATACACCTATTTGCTTTCTCGCCGGGAGTTATACGGGAAGATCGATAGCACTCTAATGTCTGTCTGTTAAATATGAAGCTGGAGCCAGGAGACAGCGGGCTTAGCTCAGTGTAAAGACTGGAAACTGGAGGGAAAAAACGTTTTCTATTGTTGTATGTTGCTCTCAACAAAATGCAAAAAATGTAAGATGATGCCTTGTCTTTAGCTTAATAAGTAACCCACCTACCAGCATGTCTAAAGAGGGTGTTCATTATTGAATAAGGCTTTTACATGAGGAGTTAGATTTAGAGACCTCAATCAAGTTATTTATTTTTCCAAATAGGCCAAAAAACACATTACTCTTCATCAAACTAACATGACTTTAATCAATCTGAAAACCTAAAAATAGATGATTTTATACAAATGTATTTGGTGTTTTGAATTATATTCATGCACCAACAGTACCTATAACACCTGACTGAGAAATAGGAAGAAGGGCCGTCTCAGAAAAATCAACTCTATTGATTTTCTTTCTTAGCAAAACATGTTACATGTACAGTAGGGCCATGTTTCCTATGCTCTGCCATGTTCCCCCTATGTTCTCTTCTCAGTGTCTCCCCTATGTTCTCTTCTCAGTGTCTCCCCTATGTTCTCTTCTCAGTGTCTCCCCTATGTTCTCTTCTCAGTGTCTATCTGTCTGCACCTATATTAGGGCTGCTCGATTATGGCAAAAATCATAATCTCGATTATTTGGTTCAATAATTGATATCACGATTATTAAAAACGATTATCCATTTACTTTGAAAACATCCATTTATTGAAAAAAAAAAAAAATGTGAACACTATGTTTTTAACAGTTGATTACCCTGAACCTTAAAGGTGGGGTAGGTAATTTCGGAGAAACCAGCTCGAGTGCGCTAGAATTTGAAAATACACAGCCGGAAAAAATCTGCCACTTCCTTACAGAGCCCCTCCTCCAACACACACGAACGCGCACATGACCAATGAGGGCACGAGATAAGTTTGTGCACAGATGGAAGGCTGACAGGCAGGTAGGCCATCCAGTTACTTGAGCCGGGCCGGCTAAAATGATTGGTCGTACTTTTTACAGTACTACGGCTTCCACAGATGATATTTTTTTATGGATTTCTTGTCAAAGCACTTAAGATATTCATTGCTATCAGGGATGTTAAGAGCGTTCCATGGAATATAACAAAAAGTGTATCTCGAGCCGGTTTCTCAAACTTACCTACCCCACCTTTAAGTATAATTCAACTGAAAAACCAAATAAAATAAAAAACAATAAAACATTTTTTTTTATTTCGATTATGTCTTTTTCATAATCGTTGCAAGCCAAAATCGTAATTGCGATTAAAATACAATTAATTGAGCAGCCCTAACCTATATTATTATTTGCTCTCACACACTGTTTTCTTTCTCGATGTTCCAGTGGCCAGGTGGGCACCCGCAGCCCGTCTCAGAACAGCAACAACGAGACGCTGGACGAGTGTATGGTGTGTTCAGACCTTAAGAGAGACACTATCTTCGGGCCCTGTGGACACATCGCCACCTGCTCCCTTTGCTCACCTCGGGTTAAAAAGTGTCTTATCTGCAAGGATCAGGTCCAGTCAAGAACTAAGGTATCAGAAAGACTAGTACCAGTCCAGGGAAATGATTCACCAACTAGAGCAGACAACTTTTACCGCTTTTTTGGTGAATTTGTCCCTCCACAGATTGAAGAGTGCGTAGTCTGCTCTGACAAAAAAGCAGCCGTTTTGTTCCAGCCCTGCGGTCACATGTGCGCTTGTGAGAGTAAGTTCACCTCTATCCTTTTAGCAGCGTCTGAACTAAAAACTATCCTCGTAAAGAATGGACTTTTAACTGTCTTTCTTTTTGTTTTCACCAGACTGTGCCAGCCTCATGAAGAAGTGCGTACAGTGCCGGGCTGTTGTAGAACGCCGCACCCCTTTCGTTATGTGCTGTGGTGGGAAAGGTATGGAGGATGATGCCGCTGATCATGATGATGATGATGATGATGATGATGATGATGATGAAAATGATGATGATGATGATGATGATGATGATGATGACATTAGTGAGTGAATCTTCCACACGTTCCCTTTTAATTCCCGTTTATTTTTCCTTCTTTCTTTTCTATTTTTCCACTTTTCCTTTCAAAGTATCTGCTTTAGCCGTGTTTATCTTTTGCTTTGTCGCTAGCTTGCTCATTGATACATTGTTTTGTTTTGACTGTACTAGACATGTTAGAAATGTGTAAATTAAGTCATGTGTTTTAATTTAGTTCATATTATTTTGCAAACTGTTTACCACTACTAGATCTGGCATGCTTTTAATCATTGTCTCCATTGTGATCATTTCATCTGCTCTAGCTTCTAGTCGGATACTGGCTGAAATGACAGTGGCTTCAAAGTGCTTGCCTGCCTTGTCTGAAATTAGCTTAATAGATCCTCCAAAAATCTGATTCTAATCTTTCTAAAAGGAAACACTAAATCTAGTTTTGCAGACCTGCACTAAATAACACAATAATCTCATAAAATACAGACAAGCTGATAACATTATTCTATTCCTGTAGCCTCTAAAAGTTTGACTAATCACTCTGCATTAAGTGGAATAACTTATTTATAAGCATATGCTTACTTCTTGTACTCATAATGATATATATGAATATTAATAACCACTTGAATGTCCAAGAATACTGAATTATAATACCTCCCTTGCAGATCATTTCAGTTTTGGAATGATACTTTTTTTTTTAAACGCCTAACCTATATGTTATTCAGTTGCACACAAGCCAAAAACTGTCCACTGAAAATGTAATGAAGTGTGTAAATGTATTTATTTTGTAGTTGAATCACACTCCATCTTCTTGTCTCCAAGTCGAACACAGTGTTTTATTGCCCATAACCTTCTTTTAGTGGTGCATCTCACCAGTGGTTAGTCCGTGTTTTCCACATTTTTATGTTGAGTTAAAAGGGAAACTGTTGTAAGTTCACTAACTTCATGTTTACCCGTGTATTCATTATTACACATGTCAGCTTGTTGGCATGCAAATCTTTATTTGCAGTCTTGCAAAAGTGAATGCAGACCCCAACACGCATACACTCATGCAAGGGGCAGCATTGATTGTTTATCTCCTCTGCCTTCATCCCAGTAACTCTGACCGTCTGCTACAAAAGCAAATCTAGTGCACGAAAAATCATCCGCCACTTTGATTATTTTGACTCCCTACTTCTCTGACATGATGTAGCGCAGGCATTAGACTCATGCTTTAGCATTGGCTGATGGCAACAAGAGAAAGAATCACTTGCCGCTATGCTTTTTAATATTGATTCTACATCAAAAGAGACTCTATTTCCCATTCTTTCCCTGATTACTGTTTCCAACTGCTAGCTTTCTCTTTAAATTCTTTCTTTGGACCTCCCTTTGAGGCTGTAGTGAGTAGTTTCAGTCCCTAGGCCAGCCGTTGAGCTGGTGAGGACAGCCCCGCTATAACTATGTGACTGGTTATTCCCAGCAGGGAGCACTAACAATATGGCAGGGGGATCGCAGGATATTGTCCAGCCCAACAATCTGGCTCTAAGTTGGTGTAAGTATACCTCTATGATTCCCTCCCTTTAAAGAGCACACACACACACACACACACACACACACACACACACACACACACACACACACACACACACACACACACACACACACACACACATACACATACACATACACACACACACAGTCTGTTGTTTGTTTATCACATTGGTGCTTACAGTTCCTCAGCCCAGCTAATTTTGGTTGAGTGCTCTTATAATGTATTCAGGCAGTTACACTCTCATGTCATTGTGGCTCCTACAATACTACGTTATCCTGAGCCAGTTTATATTTCAGATAATTATAAAGTATGCATTTCTGAATTAAAGTCCTTTATAACTGGGTGAAATGCCTTCAAAAGTCGATTGACGGATGTAACATTGACATTGTCAGTGTGGCTGCATTTCAGTTTTATTGACTATATAGTTTATCATTATGCAGAGATAACATTTGATGTGGCCTGAAGCGAAACCTTCTTATTTGTTTAGTCTCTTGGCTGGTAACTGAATTCTGTTTCCCTCAACATGTTGCTGTGCTGTTGCATCCAAACAGCCAGCGGAAACATCCCCGCCTTGCAGAGAGACAAGGACAACACCAACATCAACGCAGACGTTCAGAAGCTACAACAGCAGCTGCAAGACATCAAGGAGCAGGTAGGAGCTGTAGATCACAGGGCGGCTAGTTAATGAAACACAACTGACTATCATTTGCATTGTTAAATCTGAAATATTTAATTGATTCTTTGATCATAAAAGGAGAAGATGGTAAAGAAAATGCCATTTAAAATGTCCCAGTTTGTCTTCAGTTTGTATTAAACTTACAAATCTTCATATTTAAGAAACTTGATCGGTTAAATCTAAATATTATTTTTTACCATAAAGAGAGTAAGATTTAACGGGGCTGAGTTCAAAATCACATACTTTTAACTTTTAGTACTTACTGCAGCTGCTTTTATGCATACAATTGGGATATACTTCTTCATAATAGCATCGCACCTTGACCCTCTCGTTCATATGATTCCGTATTTTGGAATCGACTGAGCCTCTCTGCGGCTCAGTCGATGTGACTAGTTTCCTCTGAGCTGAGAATTTTGTATATTTTATAGCCAGTAAAGCATTCTGCAAAAAATGCATCGGATGCAGTAGAGCGCCCTGGTATTTTTGGCATGCTGCATTTGAAAATATTGGGATGCACCCCAGCTGTGCCTCGTGAACCATCAAGAGGGAGTAGAATATTATAAGTAATGAAACCAATGTCTGCATGGTAAAGTTTGTTGTGTAGGGCTTGTCTCAGGTGGTCATTCCCTGTGTGGGTTTTTCTAAAAGCTAAAATGACTTTATCACAAACCACATGCTCTGTGATTGCAGACGATGTGTCCGGTGTGTCTGGACCGGCTGAAGAACATGATCTTCATGTGCGGCCACGGCACCTGCCAGCTGTGTGGGGACCGGATGAGCGAGTGCCCCATCTGCCGCAAGGCCATCGAGCGACGCATCCTTCTTTACTAGACCCCCTATCCCACCCCCCACAGACTTTTTTCTCTTCTCTTAAAGCTCACAGCGTCCATGCCCGTAAAGCCACAATCACACCAGCTGCTGCCGCTGCTCCACCATCCACACCGCACCGGGTCAGCCAGCTAAGGGCATCCTCAAATGTCTTATTGGACACAGCAAATGCTCTCTTAATGGTTTGATTGTCTTCAGATGGAATTTCTGTTACAAGGAAAAAAATTATGAAATGACTTTCATCAGTTTTGCTGTTCTGTCGTGAGTCCGCACTGCAACAAGAAAGACGCTTGCTCTAGTTTTTTTCTATACCTACTTTTCCCCTTCTCGTTCAATTTTCTGTGTCATTTTCTCTGTTTTTACTTGATATGTGAAAGTTATTTTTCTCTCCTTAAGTCTACGGTGGCTTCTTTGGCCTCTTAGTCTTGGATATGAACTGTTTCTGGAACAGCTCTGAGCAAATTCATAAGTGTAGAAGAGTTGATGCAGAGGTCGGCCTGTTACCTTGGATGTAAAGTTCTCGCGCATCTGTCGCAGTCATTGCCAGCTGCAATCAAGTTTCATTGTATTTGTAAATCTTTATGCACGTGTATTGGTATCGGAAGCTCCAGATGTGGATTTTAAGTACTTAATTTTTCACGACAGTATGGCAAGTTGTTTTTACACATTACTGTTTGCTCAACTTTAAGGTTCAGTGAGTGTTTTCGCTTCATGTCTGTGTTCAGTTTGGCTGTTGTGACACGCTGTAGGCCGACTGTCCTTGCAGTTAAAGACCAGTCGTGACAGTTTTGCACAAGAAAAGCTGAGTCAGGGTAAAAGCTCTTTGCTGCACTGACTCTGGAGGTCCTCTTTTACTCAGTGTTAAAACACAGGTGGAGGTGTAGTAACTGCAAGGTAGCACACCACAGAGATGGCAGTGGCAGTAAACACACACACACATTGAGCTTCTGTCCAGTGATCAGCCCCTGTTGTACCTGTTTGTTGTACACACAGCTCAACCCGATGCAAACACTTCTCTAGAGTATCTTGTCACACCTTGATGTTAAATAAAACTGTTAAGAGTTGGCGGTATTTTCTGACAAAAAATGTACAATTCAACGAGCATTGCTAATTTACCATTGACGACTGTGCCATTTGCTTCCAAAAATCTTAAATAACTTGTATGGGGATAAGGTGCTCTTTATCTTGTATTGTTTTTTTAATTTAAGTGTATTTCCTTTATTTCAAAATTGACATTTATTAAGCTAGAGAGTACAATCTATTAGAACACTAAGATAAAAATGTAGATTAAATTATTTTGTATTGCTGCCCAAAAAGATAGGATTCATAGGTTTCACTGCCTTCCTAATATGTAGCCTCAAAATCTCAATAACATTCTGCTTTGATATTAATGTTGAGACACGTTTGTGATGTTTTTCCGTTTGCTTTTTGTTGGCAATAGCTTTCTAGCAATCATCGGTAGAAGCATATTTCGCTAAAATAGGTCTCTGTAAGCCTAACGTGTTCTTTGTGAAACAGAAAAAAAGACATTTTGTTGTCAAAAGTGTCAAGTATCTTTTCACCAATGTTTTATTTGGGAGGAAAGCTAATGATTTTTTTTAAAACAGAACTTGCCTTACCTCTTTTAAAAGGCAGTTGCCCATGTGGAGACTCAGCAAGATAGCTAGCTTGCTCTGCTATGTGGGAATTTGCAAGCCCATACAAGCATTTTTTTCCCCCCTCTTTTACGACTGAAAGCTACTTTTTTGAGAACGGTTTTGATTCCTTTCATTTGTCATGATAACACTTTAAGCTAGAAGCACTAATACGCTTTATGGTAGTGTTGTCTTGTTATGGTTGTTATGAAAAAGCCTATTTTGTACTTTATTTTCAATACCTGTAACTGTCCTGTTGATTATGTATCAGTAGTATTTCCTTTGGCATGAATGTTTGACATATGCAGTACGACATGTATCATGGAAACCGTTCAGTCTGTATTGCTAATAAGTGCTTTTAAAAACAACCATATAGCTGAAATAAAGTTCTACATGAACCACGGGACATTAGAAGGGCTGTTTGTTTTTATAGCTTCTCCCGCTTTGTTCATTTGCTTGTTTTTTTGTTTTCTTTTCAAGTGGAGCTCAGATGTAGTTAGCCTTTTTATAAGCAGTAAATTAGCATTTTGTTGCTTTTCTCCTGCTGTGCAGCGTCTGCCTCACAGAGGAGACGGGGTGGCAGAGATGGGAGGTGTGAGGTAATTGAAAATGCTAACACCTAATAATGACTCAGCACCAGTGTGTGATAGGTCAGCTATGCTAATCAAAGAGGAGTAAAAGAAAACCCCAGGAAAGATGAGACACCCAAATTGAGCGATGCATCTTCTCCAGTGAGCGGTGACATCTCCCCTCTCATTTTAAGAAATTATGACCAAAGGCCATTTATGTTCTCCCTCATTGACTAGTCCATTCATAACCTGGACATCTTTGGACCGGCTCACACACAGCAGCAGTTTGCAGACGCTCATAACAAGACATCCATCATGCTGTCACCCTCTCGCCCCGTCAATGACTGCAGGGGAGACTCTGACACCTTTTTATTTCTTCTCGGATCTCTGCGACTTGGCACGAGGCAAAGACGATGGCTTTGGTCTGGTGTCATGTCTATGGTGTCATTTTAAAGTCAAGTACCTGTCTTTAGAACAATGGGTTTACCTGTTACAGTGATAGACAGTGACATGAATGGCAGCCGCTGCTGGCTGCTTTGTGACCAAAAACAAATGTGGACAGCAGTCGCTTTAACATGTTTTCTCCTACAGCGGTTTTTCATTTCAAACGACAAATATTATTACTACATCATTCAGTGATATCATAGTGTTTTTGGTTTGTTTGATTTAAGATTGCTAATGTTGACCAATTTGTGAATTATGTGTGATTTACTTTTTAAAATGTCCATGTTTTTGTTTAATATAATAACTAAATCTATGTACATATAACATAGACGTACTCACTACTTAACACTTAACTTAATTTTTATTAAAAAAAACATCAGTTTGTATTTATTTTTGAAGGACCTTTCTTGGCCTGGAAGAAGCTAAGTGTTTTAAATTAGTGTTTCTTGAAAAAAATCCTTACATTTGGACCAACTTAAAATCTTGAAAAGTTGGGTCTACTTTAGTTCAGTTCAATGCTTTTACCCTGATTTATAATTTAAAACAAAGCACTTAATGTACACATGCTGAAATGCAATTCAAAATGTATGTTTAACAACAACCGACAGATAAACCTAACATGCTTTTAGCAGTTTTATTAAAGCTTAAGGTGTTGCTGTGGCCTTACAGACCCAGCGCAAACACTCGGAGCAGGGTTTTAGAAGAAGCCCTTGAACCAGGTCTTCTCCTTCTTCTTCTTGGAGTTCAGACTCTGAAGGTCCGTCAGGTCCCAGGAGGATTCTGCTTTCTGCCACTCTTGCTCTTTCGCCTGCTGATGGTTTTTCAGCCAGTCTATGGTTTGAAGCAGGGTGGATCTCTCCTCTTGCCACACTTGCTCCCTCTCCTGCAGATTCCTTTCAAGCCTCAATGAGGCCTGAAGGAGGGTCGACTTACAGCTCTTCCACTTCTGCTCTTTCTTTTGCAGGTTGTGCGACACGTTTGTTGAGTCCTGAGGGAGGGTTGGTCTATTCCCTTGCCACTTGAACCACTTCTTCTCCTTCTTTTGGAGGGTTTGGCACTCAATCTGAGACTTTAAGTAGCTCTCTGTTTTCTGCCACTCCTCCTTCTCCATCTGCTGATTATATTTCAGCCTTTCTTTGTCCCGCAGGACGGTCAACCTGTCCTCCTCCAAGTGGATGCAATTACGCTCCATCTTCTGCACAGCCTCGTTCAGATTGTCCACAAGCTTTTTATTTGCCTGTTGCTGCTCCTCGAGCTGAGTCTCGTAGGAAGTCTTTGTTTTCCCAACCTCCTCCATCAGCTGTTCAAGGAGACGATCCCCTTCAAGCTGTGCTTCTGCTTTTTCCTGAAGCAAAGACACAAAGGTCTTTTTTTCCGATGCATGCATCTCTAGCTGGGCAAGATGGATGACATGGGATACCTCCAGCTTTGCAGTGAGAACAATGTTCTCCTCCTGCCACTGGAGAGTCCTGATCTTCAGCTCCTGCTGAGCCTCATTTAGAGCGCCCATGAGCTTACTAGTTTGTGCTTCCAGTTGAGCGAGACAGAGAAATCTAAAACGACCTGTCTTCTCCTGGAGGTCAGTGATCTCTCGCTGGAATCGGAGGTGCTCAGTCTGCAGGAGATCTTCCGCCTTTTTCAGGGCTGTTGTGATCTTCCCGGTCTCCGTTCTCTCCAATTCGAGATGGCTCTCCAACTCCAGGTTGGTATTTGACACAACCAATATTGGTCTTAAAACACAGAGCTCACTTTGAAGGGCCTCATGTTCTGCCTTCATGTGCTCCAATGTGAGTTGCTTGTCTTTGTTAAGGGAGGTTTGATGCTTGAGATCCTGGAGGTCAGTGATCTTTTGCTTGAATTGAAGGCGCTCAGTCGCCAGGAGATCTTGCGCCTTTTTCAGAGCTGTTGTGATCTTCCTGGTCTCGCCTCTCTCCAATTCGAGATAGCTCTCCAACTCCAACTCCACGTTCGTTTTTGCCACACCCAGCATTGGTCTTAAAACACAGAGCTCACTTTGAAGGGCCTGGTTTTCTGCCTTCATGTGCTCCAATGCCATCTGCTGTTCTTTGTTTGTCGAGGTTTGATGCTTGACATCCTGGAGGGTCTTGATCTCTTGCTTGAATTGAAGGCGCTCAGTCGCCAGGAGATCTTCCGCCTTTTTCAGGGCTGTTGTGATCTTCCTGGTCTTCGCTCTCTCCAATTTGAGATTGCTCTCAAACTCCAACTCCAGGTTGGTTTTTGACAAAGCCAGCATAGGTTTTACAGCATGGAGCTTACTTTTCAAGGCCTCATTTTCTGCCTTCATGTGCTCCAATGTGAGTTGCTTGTCTTTGTTAAGGGAGTTTTGATGCTTGAGATCCTGGAGGTCAGTGATCTTTCGCTTGAATTGAAGGCGCTCAGTCGCCAGGAGATCTTCCGCCTTTTTCAGGGCTGTTATGATCTTCCTGGTCTCGCCTCTCTCTAATTCGAGATAGCTCTCCAACTCCACGTTCGTTTTTGCCACACCCAGCATTGGTCTTAAAACACAGAGCTCACTTTGAAGGGCCTGGTTTTCTGCCTTCATGTGCTCCAATGCCATCTGCTGTTCTTTGTTTGTCGAGGTTTGATGCTTGACATCCTGGAGGGTCTTGATCTCTTGCTGGAATCTGAGGCGCTCAGTCGCCAGGAGATCTTCCGCCTTTTTCAGGGCTGTTATGATCTTCCTGGTCTCGCCTCTCTCCAATTCGAGATAGCTCTCCAACTCCACGTTCGTTTTTGACACAACCAACATTGGTCTTAAAACACAGAGCTTACTTTTCAAGGCCTCATTTTCTGCCTTAATGCGCTCCAATGTGAGTTGCTTGTCTTTGTTAAGGGAGTTTTGATGCTTGAGATCCTGGAGGTCAGCGATCTTTCGCTTGAATTGAAGGCGCTCAGTCGCCAGGAGATCTTCCGCCTTTTTCAGGGCTGTTATGATCTTCCTGGTCTCGCCTCTCTCCAATTCGAGATAGCTCTCCAACTCCACGTTCGTTTTTGCCACACCCAGCATTGGTCTTAAAACACAGAGCTCACTTTGAAGGGCCTGGTTTTCTGCCTTCATGTGCTCCAATGCCATCTGCTGTTCTTTGTTTGTCGAGGTTTGATGCTTGACATCCTGGAGGGTCTTGATCTCTTGCTGGAATCTGAGGCGCTCAGTCGCCAGGAGATCTTCCGCCTTTTTCAGGGCTGTTATGATCTTCCTGGTCTCGCCTCTCTCCAATTCGAGATAGCTCTCCAACTCCACGTTCGTTTTTGACACAACCAACATTGGTCTTAAAACACAGAGCTCACTTTGAAGGGCCTCATTTTCTGCCTTCATGTGCTCCAATGTGAGTTGCTTGTCTTTGTTAAGGGAGTTTTGATGCTTGAGATCCTGGAGGTCAGTGATCTCTTGCTTGAATTGAAGGCGCTCAGTCGCCAGGAGATCTTGCGCCTTTTTCAGGGCTGTTGTGATCTTCCTGGTCTCGCCTCTCTCCAATTCGAGATAGTTCTCCAACTCCAACTCCACGTTCGTTTTTGCCACACCCAGCATTGGTCTTAAAACACAGAGCTCACTTTGAAGGGCCTGGTTTTCTGCCTTAATGCGCTCCAATGCCATCTGCTGTTCTTTGTTTGTCGAGGTTTGATGCTTGACATCCTGGAGGGTCTTGATCTCTTGCTGGAATCTGAGGCGCTCAGTCGCCAGGAGATCTTCCGCCTTTTTCAGGGCTGTTGTGATCTTCCTGGTCTTCGCTCTCTCCAACTCCAGGTTGGTATTTGACACAACCAACATTGGTCTTATAGCACAGAGCTCACTTTGAAGGGTCTCATGTTCTGCCTTAATGCGCTCCAATGTGAGTTGCTTGTCTTTGTTAAGGGAGGTTTGATGCTTGAGATCCTGGAGGTCAGTGATCTCTTGCTTGAATTGAAGGCGCTCAGTCACCAGGAGATCTTCCGCCTTTTTCAGGGCTGTTGTGATCTTCCTGGTCTTCGCTCTCTCCAATTCGAGATAGCTCTCCAACTCCAACTCCACGTGCGTTTTTGCCACACCCAGCATTGGTCTTATAGTGCGGAGCTCACTTTGAAGGGCGTCTTTTTCTGCCTTCATGCGCTCCAATGCCATCTGCTGGACTTTGTTTGTTGCGGTCTGCTGCACGAGATCTTCCTGTGCTTTCCTCAACATTGGGCGGACCTTTATCAGCTGGCTTTTGAGATACTTCACCTCACTGACACTTTCAGTGAAATGCGCCTGTAGGCTACATATCTCTTTCTGCATGCCTTCTTGCTTAGGGCTGCATTTGTCATCCTCTCTACGCTCTTGGAGATGATCGAGAAGGTTTGCCAGTAAGTCCTCTTGTATTTCCAGGTGGACTCTGCCCTCAGATTTACTCTGGGTGAGCCTTGCCTTGCTGTCATGCAGTTCAACCCGGATTTGTTCCTCAAG